AATACTGAGTACGATAGAGATGATGGCGATGATGACTACGACGACTGCGACACCGCCGGCGACGAAACTGATGATGGTAATGTTGAGTCTGGCGTTGATCAGGGGCATATGCACTGTTATGGTGGTGATGGCAAAGATGATGATGGAGATGGTGATGATGACGGTGGCTGTGATGATGATGATGATGATGATGGTGATGATGATGTTGATGATGATGATGATGATGATGATGATGATGATGTTGATGATGATGATGATGATGATAGTGATGATGCTGATGATGATGATAACGATGATGATGCTGATGATGATGATGATAATAGTGGTTATGATAACGATGGCGATGATGATGGAACGAGTGATGATGATGGTGATGATGATGATGATGCTGGTTATTGTGATGGTGATGGTGATGGTTGTGGTGATGGTGATGATGATGGTGGTAATGGTGACGGTGATGGTGATGATTGTGGTGATGGTGATGGTGATATGGATGATGATGATGAGGATAATTAGGGTGATGATGATGATGATGATGATGATGATGATGATGATGATGATGATGATGATGATGATGATGATAAGGAAGATGCTGACGATGAGGAGGAAGATAATTGGGTGGAGGATGAGGATGGTACTGATGATGATGATGGTGAGGATACGGATGATGATGGTGATGTTGATGATGGAGATGGAGATGTGGATGATGATGATGATGATGATGATGAGGATGATGAGGATGGGGGTGAGGATGATGATGATGATGATGACGCTGATGATGACGGTGATGATTATGGTGATGTTGATAAGGTTGCTGCTGATGCTGATGATGCTGCTGCTGATGCTGATGCTGATACTGATGATGATGTTGATGATCACGATGTTGGTGGTGATGCTGACGATGGTGATGTTGATGATGATGACGATGATGATGATGATGCTGATAATGATGCTGCTGCTGATGATTGTGGTGATGCAGAGGAGGAGGAGGAGGATCAGGATCTGGATCAGGATGATAATTCGGACCATGACATCATGACGACGACGTCGCCGACGACGATGATGATGCTGATGATGATGCTGATGATGATGATGTTGATGATGACGATTGTGCTGCTGCTGATGATGATGATGATGATGATAAACATAATGACGAGCAGGGGAGGGTGGAGTTCTTCGCCTGGGATCCGCCCTCCGGGCCGCCGGCCAGCGGCGGACAGGGCAGCAGCAAGAACGGTGGGACCAAGGATCCTTCCTCCTGGACCTCCTTGTCGTCCTCGTCCGCCTCGTCGTCCTTCTTTCTCGTCGTCCTTCTCCTCTTCCCTTCCCTCCTCCTGCCCCTCCTCCCCCATCCTCCTCCTGCCCCTCCTCCTCCTGCCCCTCTTCCTCCTCCCCCTCCTCCTCCTCCTCCTCCTCCTCCTCCTCCTCCTCCTCCTCCTCCTCCTCCTCCTCCTCTTGGCTCCCTCTCCTCCTCGTCTTCCTCCCCGCCCCTTCCCTGCCGCCCTCCACGCCTTGCCTTGCCTCCCCGCCCCCTCTCCGCGAAGGAGCGCAGGTTCCCACAAGAGCTCCAGCAGTACCTGCGGTCCAGCGTGGCCAAGGCCCGCCCCGGGGGGGAGGTCCCCCTCGCCGCCTCGGCACCGCGCGTCGCCTGGAGCGGCGCGTCTCGCGAGCGTTGCCCTCTGCACCGCCGAGCCCAGACAGACCGGCGTCGCGAACAAATCGAGGCGGTTCTTGCTTGATCATGGTGTTCGGCCTCGCGGGGGCCCTTCCGGGCCTCGGGGCCGTGGACAAAAATGGCTCGGAGGGGAGGAGCGGAGGGGGGTTGCAGGAGGAGAGGAGCAGGAGTAGGAGCAGGAGCAGTAGCAGGAGCTTCATCATGGTGTTCGGCCTCGCGGGGGCCCTTCCCGGCCTCGGGGCCGTGAACACGAGTTTTGGAGTCCCGAAGCGGTGCGGTGACACACCGTGCGGTGACCTCGGAACCCCAAGAGACCTCACCGCACGGTCCGTCGCCGCACGGTTTTGGGACCTCGGAGGCCCCAGTCGCCCGTGATGTCCTCGGAGAACGACCCGAGTCCCAAAACCGTGCGGTGACCCCGAATCCCCACCGACTCACCGCAGGGTGTAGTTCACCCCCCAGTTTGGGGGCCCCCGAAGAATGGCTCGGGATGAGGAACCGGTCCTGGGGGTGTGGTCGAGGGTCGACGGGTCGAGGGCCCGTGTCTCCAGGCCGCCCAGATGGGGTCGAAGGAGACGTGATGGGCCTGTTTTCCACCACCACCATAAGATGGAGGGGGAAGGAGGAGGAGGAGGAGGAGGACCCCCTCCCCCTCAAACCTATGGTGGTGGTGGAAAACAGGCTCATCAAGACGGGGTCGAAAGAACGCGCCGCATCGCCGATGCATGGCCGATGCGGCTCGATGTGGAGCCCGATATTCTCCACGTCGACGTCGCCGATGCATTGCCGACGCATCGGCGATACATCGTCGATGTGGTGCATTCCTCCGGCCCCAGTTGCTCGATCCCATCTAACCGCTACAGGTCCGTAGCGTTGGTCCCCCCAGAATCTATCGCCGGTGAATAGGACTGGTCCTAAAACCTCCTCTTCCTCCTTGTCTTCTTCTTTCCTCCTCCATCCTTGTTGTTGCGCGGCGGGTGCCGCGTTAAAAAACCAGAAGTTACCCCCCATTTGTGGGTCCCCAATAATTCCATAAGGCCGCCGAGAAAGTCATTCGCTACCCCCCCATAGGGGGGGTCGAAAGACCTTTCAGGGTTAGGACGCCTTTATCGATGATCCTCAGGACATGGGCTAGCCCAATGTGCGTGCGTGCGTGTGTGTGTGTGTGTGTGTTGCCCAGTTCAGCTCTCCACCGACAGCACGACGCCTGCGCAGGCCTCCAGAGCCCGTCGCGGGAGGAGTCGTTACGATCATTCCCTCCGCCTTTCTCTTGAGCATCATTTCGCGCGCCGTTGCGCACGTTTGGCTCAAGCTGTTGTGAGGATACAGTCGGGCCGCTGAAGAAGGAACCCTTTTCGTTGGGGAGGGGTTCAGTGTTCCTTAATCGTCTTCGATTTGTTCTTACGTTTCCTTGGGAAGTTCAACGTATGGGAAAAAGGTGCCTCGTTCCTTTTTTAGGGTTCCTTATGCTAGCATGTAGGCTGTAAGTTGATCGGGCGTGGCCGCGCCTGGGCAAGAAAAGATAAGCTCGTCATCATCAGCGTGCATGCATCACATACGTTCTTACTTTGCTTACCGGACAGTCATCGCCATGTCGCAAAATATCGTCAAGGAGCCATCCATCGACAAGATCCCCGTGAAGAGATCCCATGAGTTAGGAGAGGAGAGCAAGGATCGCGCTCGATCGTCGGATAATGCTAACTACCTGACGAAGTATTGGGATAGAGGAGGGGGAGAGAAGGGGTGCCACAAGCTCCCCAGCCCACCGCAACTCCTCTTCCTCCACCTCCTCATGCCGGGTAGGGTCGAGTGTGTTGTGCAGGCTCCGTTCGGATTCGCCGTCCCCCCCTCTCTCTCTATATCCCGTTCTCTGCTTCTCCTTCCCCTGGCGTCTACGCGCATGCGTGCGCTGACAGAGCTGTCGCGTTGAGCGGATTCCGCGCTCCATCCGGCAAGCACCATCGCGAACCAAATTTGCAGTAGCCTCTGTCTCTTGCCTTGTTCTTTGTTGCGCCAGTTCGTGGACCATTTGGGTTGTGAGCCCGTTGGCCGTCCGCGGGATTTTTGCATCGCCCTCGTTCCCTCTCTCCCTGTTTCTGTCTCTCTCTCTCTATATCTGTCCCCCGCCTGTGTTCGCGAGGACCTCTGGTGCGGGCACCGTCCATATGAGCCAATCTACCCACCCGCCAGATTGCCGAGTCTGTGGTTGCCTGTTCTTCCCCCCTCCTCCCTTCCCCGCCTGTTCTTGCTCTCGCGTATCCGCCTGCATCTTGCATCACAGCCGGATGCTAACACGCTTTTTTCAGTAATGCTTCCAACACTCCGGACAGTTGTTCGGGTTTGCCATATCTGGCGGGTTGGTCGTTGCTCTTGCCTGCAGTTCCTGCATATGCAGAGGTGGCACGCGGAGCAACGGTGGCACGAGTCTGGGTCTATTACTGGTTTTCGGAGCCACGATTTTGAACCCCGTTCGGGGTGCTTTCACTGCGTGTTTGCCCCCAGGTCTGTTCACCTATTGTTTGCCCCCACGTGTGTAACGCATGTTATTAGCGTGCGGCAGGCTGGGCCAGCTGGAAGTTTCATCATTGTGTCCGCCCCCATCCTCTCCCTCCAGCAACAATCATGCCGCGATGCCATGCGCCATCTGCCGCGCTGGCCACGTCTGCGCTTTCACGCAGCACTCTGTTGACCGGCTTGTTGAGACTGAAGGCGTTGTGCGGGTTGATCTGTTTGTGTGCGCAAAGGTGGATATTTCGCCGTGCCAGCATCCAAGGTCTCGACACATTGAACCGGTGATTGCAAGCCATCACGGGGGAAACAGTGTGTGTGTGTGTGTTTGCAGGGTGAGTGTCACCTCCTCCTCCTCCTCGTGCCTGCTTCCTCATTATGCCTGCCTCTTTCTCTCTCTCTCTCTCTCTCTCTCTCTCGCTCTCCCCCAGGCCTGCTTTATCCATCCTGCTCATTCCGTCCTCCTCCCGGCCCTCCTCATTCATCCCTCCTCCTCCTCCTCTTCCTCCTCCTCCTCCTCCTTCTCCTCCTCCTCCTCCTCCCCCTCCTCGTCTTCCTCCCTCGCGGAGCACGAGGATGGGAGGAGGAGGAGGAGGAGAAGGAGGAGGAGGAGGATGAGACGAGGAGGACGACGCCTGCATCGAGAACTACGGCGAAGACATTGACGTCAACGACGTCGACTCTTCCTCCCCCTCCTCGTCCTCCTGCTTCGAGGAGGACGGGGAGGGGGAGGAGGACGAGGAGGTCGACGGCTTCGTCGAGAACGACGGCGAAGACGTTCACGCCAACGACGACGACGGCGACGAGCCGGAGCCTCGCGAGGTGGCCGCCGACGACAATTCGGAGGAGAGCTCTGGCAAGGACAAGGGCCGCCTCCTGGTGCCCGGCAGCTCCTCGGCGGGCCCGTCGGGCCCAGGCCTTCCGAGCGAAGAAGAAAAAACGGCATGCAGTCGAGTTTGATTAGTATCGGGGGCGGCCAAGAGGGGGATAATGACTAGGAGGGGGTGGATATCATGGCGGGGGCCATGATATCTCCCCAGATTTCATGGCGCCTGTTCTTATTTCAATTTGCCCACGGCCCCCCCCCTGGGCCGCGCACATGCCGCCGGCCATGATTTGCGCCCCCCCCCTCTTGGACGCCCCCCTCTTGGCCGCCCCCGATAGTAGGTCGACCCTGCCCAAACAAGGGTATCCTTGTGTCCTGCGTTTCGCGACCCATGCCCTCTGCGTTCCACTGGCAGTGTGGCCATCGGACGAGCCTCGTGTCCTCTCGCGTGTGCTCTCCAGTCCACCCCGACTGCACTCGACCAAATATTTGCGACGCTCTGCGCAGTCGTCTTGGCTCTGCGACGGTCCCCCTGGCGGCGCCTCCGGCGCAGCCCCTGGCGCGCCTCGAACGCCACGGATAGGGGGGTCCAGCGCAGACCCGAGATGTTTGCGCGGATCGTCGAAAGGTTATGTTTATGCTTGAGCCAGGCTTGTCCCTCGACAGGAGGAACTCTTCCAAAATAGACCAACAAATAGTGTTGGGACGATGTTTTTTTTTGACTATTTGGGGCTATTGTTGGAAATTGGTTGCGCATGTTTCATTTTTCGCCCAAAATCCCCCAGTAGGGGGACATGCCCGACCTAAGGCTATGTTTATGCAGTTCTTCTCCCTTTATTCAAGCGGAGCCATTGCCGCCGCCGCCGCCATCGCGGCCAGCGCTCTCGGACCTCACTCGGCGGCGCGCTCCGGGGGGCAGGTGAGGAGGAGCAGGCCTCCTCAGAGGGCGGTGCGGCTATCCAGAAGGTCTCGGACTTTCTGAGAAGTGTTGTGCATCTCTGGGGGAGGTGTACCACATTTCTCAGAAGGCCCGAGGCCTTACGAGCCTTCTGAGAAGGCCCGCCCCCCCCTCTATTTTCCCCCTGGGCTCCCTGCTGAGTCTCCTCAGGTTTCCGAAGAACGTTCAGCCTCGGGATGCGCTCACGCATTGAAAGAATAATGGGCATATCGTTCTCTCTCTCTCTCTCTCTCTTTCTCTTTTCTCTCTATCTCTCTCTTTCTCTTTTCTCTCTATCTCTCTCTATATATGAAGATTACATATATATATATACAACTATACACATTTATATATATATATAGTCCTCTTCCTATATGTTTACAAGCCTGGGAGGGTGTTTACAAGCCTGGGAGGGGGGAAAGAAACACCCCCCCACCAAAAAAAAAAGGACTCCCGGGATCCGGGGTTTTGGGACCCTCCGGACGGGCCTCGAAGCGGCCCCCCGGGCCTCGCAGGGCGTTTTGTCAAGCCTGCCCAGCACACCTAGTGCGATCAGGGGGGTCATCGGAGACGTCCCAAAGACCCCCAAGACAGCACAAGAGCGCTCCAAGAGTGACCGACGTGACCTCGAGATGGCCCAAGAGGCCTCCAGGACGGCCCCAAAGGCCTCAAAAAGCTTCCAAGAGCACTCCCCAGAAGGCCCCAAGAGGCAAACATCATTGATTTTCTGCGGGTTTTTTGGTGAATTTTGGGGTTCTCCTCTTCTCGTCTTCCCGACGCTCCAATACGGCAGTCTTCTGGGCGTCCGAAGCCGCCTGGGAGGCTCCAAAATCGCCCGACAACCATCCGAACGGGCTTCCAGGCAGTCCAAGAGAGCCCCAAAACGGCACAACAGGGGTCAAAGATGGCCCTCAGAGAGCCCCATGGCGGCCCAAGACGGCCCCAAGAGACCCTCCGAAGCATTCCAAATCGTGACCCGGTCGTTCAGGGCGACCGCAGTTGGAGGCAGGGTGGCCCGAGGAAGCCCCCAGAACCTCCAGAACACGTCCAGGAGGCCTCCAGAAGGCCTTAAGAGAGCCTGAAACTTTTGTGAGGCCCCCAGAGGCTCTCCGAGGAGGAGCCTCCGCAAAAAGAGCTGAGGAGGATGTGGAAAATGTGCAGGGTATGGCGAGAACGAGGAAAAGAAGCATGGAGGAAGGATAACGAATAACATCATGTTAGCGGCGATACTGGAAAAGGCAACAAGGAGTTATCGCCAAATTGTCGGCTTGACCTTTCCTGCCATTCCGTCTGCATACCAAATTTCAAGGACCAAGGTGCATGGCGCGAAGCGCCACTGCAGTCTTGTATATATATATATATATATATACTCATATTATATATATATATATATATATATATATATATATATATAGATGTATATATATATATACATACTTATTCGAAGCTCCGCGCGGATTTCTTGGATCGGCGCTGGGCCCCCCTGGCGGCACCCCAGGCGCGCTCCGCGCGCCGGGGAGGAGGGCCAGGGCCGATGCAAGAAATGCGTGGACCCCCGAAAGTTTATATGTTATGTTTGGTCAGCTGCTTGTTCCTCTAAGGCTCTAAGGAGCTGCGCCTCGCCGAGCGCTTGCCAGAGCTCCCACGCAATCTCTGCCTAGTTGTGCCTCTGTCCTACCTCCGTCTCAAGGGCAACGCCAGGGCGAATAACTTGGCGCGGGCGAGACATCGAAGTTTCGAGGTTCGAGGTTTTCGGACGACCGTGTCCGGTTGTCGGCGGTTTTCCAGCCTCGGGGTATTGTCCAACAGTTGCGCCAGGCCGAGTTCGTTCCGGGGGTGCGCGGATCGTCCTGAGCGGCCTTTGATGATGGCAATGTCAATGACGGCGTCGATGTTGGCCACGCCGATGCCGATGGTGGTGCCCGCGCGTCGGTGGTCAAGGTTTTCCGCAGTATTTCGGCACACCCCTCACACGCTTCGTGGCACCATTAGAGAGCTCCACCGAAGGCCCCAGTGGCAAAGTTCGCATGCGGTTCCACCCCCACTTTGGCACACCCCTCACAAGTTCCGTGGCCCCATAGGGAGCTCCACCGAAGGCCCCAGTGGCAAAGTTCGCATGCGGGTCCACCCCCATTTCGGTACACCCCTCACACGTTTCGTGGCCCCATGGGGAGTTCCACCGAAGACGATACTCACAATTGCGACACCCACAATTGCATACGGTTGGGTCCTTCGCCAGGCTAGTTATAAACAAGTGCGCGCGCTGACACGCTCGCGCGCCCTGCCCGCTTGGCCGCACTTCCTGCACATGTTGAACAACAGTCAGTTTCCGGGATAATTTGCAATGGCGCGCGCGCAGATGATCTTTGTATCTCTCGCTCTCTCTCTCTCTCTCTCTCTCTCTCTCTTATATATATATATATATATTTGTATATATATATAGATCATGTTCTTTATTTCTGTTTATGTGGCTCTTTCTTTCTCGTTTTCTGTCTGTGTTATTTGTTGTTTTCTTTCTCTATCTTTTTCTCTTATATCTATATGCATATAAGAAACCACGTCGTGAAACCATGTCTGTGTCCATACGTTTCAGAGTATCGATTGGAGAGGCCTGACGGCCGGTGCCGCCGACCCTGATCGAAAGGGCTAGGAGTGGGGGGAGGAAGCGGTGGATGAGGAGGAGGAGGAGGAGGAGGAGTACGAGGAGATAGAGGAGGAGCAGGAGGAGGAGGAGGAGGAGGAGGAGGAGGAGGAGGAGGAGGAGGAGGAGGAGAAGGAAGTGCATCCTTTGTGTGCCCGCTCGAAGAAAGTGCGCCCCGGGAGTGTGATATTCTGACTTGGGACGTGTTCCCGGAAGAGGAAGAAGTGCATCTCGGAAAATGCACCCGAGGGGGGTGGTATTTTGACTCGGGGCCCGCTCCCGGGACGCCTCTGCGGGAGGAGGAGGAGGAGGAGGAGGAGGAGGAGGAGGAGGAAGGAGGAGAAGGAGGAGAGGAGCAGGAGGAGGAGGAGGAGGAGGAGGAGGAGGAGGAGGACCAGGAGGAGGAGGAAGTGCATCCCGTGCGTGCCCGCTCGAGGAAAGTGCGCCCTGGCGGGCGTCGTATCTGCCCCGGCCCCCCCCCCCTCCCCCCTGCGGGGAAGGGATCAAAGGGAAGGGGCTTCCCTTCGACTCCACTACGACGTCGTTTAATTTCGCTTTGGATAGCGCGCTTGAGGAGGAGAGCCCTGGGAGGGGGAAAACGGAGACGACGGAGACGACGAGTCGAACGGAGAAGCCCCTCACACACGCCGACGGGGTCGGCGGATTTTGAAATCCGCGCGGCGCCTTACTGTTTGAACGGTTCCGGCAAACGCGCACGACGCCGCGCGCGTGGAATTAACGCATTTGTTGCCCGTGTTTTTTGTAAACTGATTTGTTGCGATCAACGAGTGCGCGCGCAAAAGTTTCATTTGTCACGGATGAGGGTTCGATGCCGGCCTGGTTGGGATGGTATGAATGCCCCGCTTGTAGCGAGCGAGGCCAACCTAGATGCCAGCGGAAGCAAAAGTTCCAAGCAACGGCTCGGGGGTGGTTGAGAGTCGGCAGAGCCGAAGGACAACATTCGTTGGCGTTGCCCATGCTTCATCGGGTCCTTCGGGACCTTTTTCGAAGTTTTATCGGGACAGATCGCGAGCAAGACCGGCGGATAACAGGAACCATATGAACAGCAAAGGCTCTCCCACGAAGCGTTGAACCGTTGCTGCGGCTCGGAACCCTTCTGGGGGGACTCTTCGGTCCTTCCTCCTGGGCCGCCCTGAGCATCTCGGGGCCGGCTTGGCCGAGCGAAGTGAACCCCACCCTTTCCCTCAGAAATCGTGGAGGGTAGGGGTAGGGTTCACATGTAGCCCCCTACAGGAGGGTCCGACCCACCCAGGTGGTTTCCTCGGCGCCGCGGGCACCAGTGGTAAACAACACAGAAAGACGTTCGAGGTCAAGAGACGGGCCGATGAGACGAATGACAACCGGAGGCGGCCAGCAAGGCAGCACAGTCAGCGCGTTTAGTAAGGACGCGCGCCTTCATCTAATTAGGATGCCCTTGTGGGCCAGTGCAGTCAACGGCGCTTAGTAAGGACGCGCGCCTTCATCGAAGGTACCCTTGTGTCCTTGCCTCCGCGGCCCGCCGCCCCCAAAATCCAAGCTTCGGCCTCCAAGGGTCCTGTGTCCTTACCACCCGTCCTTCATACGCGTTATGATTGTAGTCTTGCAGGGGGCATCACAGCCTAGCGCTCCTTTCGAGGGGCGGTGGGATCACTGATCGCGGTTGCGTACTCCGTTCATCGTGTTTCTGCTACCATCATGACCCAAACATCCGGCGAACTGGTTCTTTCAATGCGCCGCCCCAGGAAGCCCGACCGCTTCCCATGAGGTCAGCATTTTCGCCCTGGAACAACTTTTTGTGGCTCCAGGGCGCAAGAATGGGCCCTCGAATCGAAGGTCCGCGCGGATTTCTTGGATCTGTGCTGCGCCCCCCTACGGCGCCTCCGGAGCCGCCCCTGTCCAGCGTGGATCCAAGAGATTTGCGCTGATAGTCGAACGTGCCTTCTTATGCTGAATTTCTCTCGCTGGAGATCTTGGGCACCACCATGTTGAGCGCTTGCGAAGTGGGTTTCCCCCGCAGGTCCTGCCCCGGGGCGCTACCAGGCGGCCTCAGCAGAGAGCGAAGAGGGCGAGGAGCGCGGGCCACAACAACCGGGGCGTGCCCTCCTACTTCAGTGTCGTTTCACCGATCCATATCCTTCAGTCGGGCCTGTCGCTTTACAAGGGGAATGTTCAAAAATAACTGAAAAATAGTCTGGGGACGATGATTAGTTTGGCCATTTTGAGTATTTGAAGGGTATTATTTCAGAGTTGTCGTTCAAAATCCGCCTGTAGGGGGGACATACCCGACCTAAGTCTATCCCCATCCCCATCCACATCTCGAGCCCCACCGCCTCACCACCTCAGTTGGGGATGTGCCCCTCGAAATCGAAGAGAGCAGCATATATCCCCACCCAGGCGGGGTCAATCGGCTAGTGAGGCCCAGCCCACTCTGGTGGGCATGGGGATCGGTTAAACGATGCTCACTACTCTCCTCCCTTGCTTTAAGTCGGGCCTGTCCCTCTACAGGAGGAATACTCAAACATGGCATGGTTAAGAAGAAAAAAACATCATCTGGGAACTATAGTTTGATTATCTTTGAGCTTCTTTAGAGATGTTTGACTACTGCTAAGGCCTTACGGCCAGTGCCGCCGACCCTGGATACCTCGGCCTTCGAGGGTGACGGGATGCGTGATAAGACGTCGGAAGTAAATGAAGACGTAGCGGAGGACGAGGAGGAGGAGGAGGACGAGGAGGAGAAGAGGAGGAGGAGGAGGAAGGGGAGGAGAAGGAGGAGGAGGAGGAGTAGGAGGAGATAAAGAGGAGCAGGAGGAGGAGGGGGAGGTGGCGGAGGATGAGGAGGAGGACGAGGAGAGGAGGAGAGGAGGAGGAGGAGGAGGAGAGGTGGAGGAGGAGGAGAGGAGGGAGGGGAGGAGGAGGAGGAGGGAGGAGGGAGGAGGAGGAGGAGGAGGAGGGAGGGAGGAGGAGGAGGAGGAGGCGAGGAGGAGGAGGAGGAGGAGGAGGGAGGAGGAGGGAGGAGGAGGGAGGAGGGGGAGGGGGAGGGGAAGGGGGAGGGGGAGGGGGAGGGGGAGGGGAGGGGGAGGGGGAGGGGGGGAGGGGGAGGGGGAGAGGGTCGCCCAGGGGGATGCGTATCTGCCCCCCCACCCCCTTCCCTGGTGAGGAGGGGAAGGAGCGACTACGATTTCCTTCTGTTTCGGAGGGTCGCGGGGGGGGATGCGTATCTGCCCCCCCCCCCCACCCCCCCGGTGGGGAGGGTAGGGAGGGGCTTCGCCACGACTACGATTTCCTTCTGTTTCGTGTTCGATTTCCTTTTATTTCGGGCGACGACGATGACGACGACGACGACGACGACGACGACGACGACGACGACGACGACGACGACGGTGATTCACGCAAGACGACGACACCGGGATGCGTCTTCCACACGCCGACACGGTCGGCGGATTTGTTATGTTTTTTGTCCCAAATCCGCCTGTAGGAGGACATGCCCGACCTGACCCTTGGTGGCAGTCGCCACCCTCGCCCCACCCCGTCCTCCGCGGCCCTCGTGGCTCGGCCCGCCTCCCCTCCCCTGGCGATCCTCCCATTCCCAGTCCCAGTCCCAGTGCCATTCCCATCCCCACTCCCATTCCCCCCCCCATCGCCCCCTCTCGCACCCCTTTCCCTTGGCCCCCTTCGCCTTCCGCGCCTTCGATCTCCACTCTCCAGTCTCCAATCCCCCCTTGCGCCATCGCAGCCTTTCCCTTGCCCCCCGCGCCCGTCTCTCTCTCTCTCCTGCATCCTTCTGGGCTCCGCTGCCAGTCCCCTATGCTTCCCCCCCCCCAGTCGTCGCACTGCTTTCCGCTTCTTGACCCCTTTCCTCTCTACTCCGCCTTCTCATTCCTCCCTCCTCCCTCCTTCCTTTTCCGCCTCCTCATTCTCCTTCTCCTCCGCCCCATCTCTCTTCGTAATATTCTTATTCGTGTCATGATTAGTATGGTTATTCTGATTTGAAAGAGCGTGTTCTACCGCTGCTGGCGGAAAACCGGGCTGCCGGTTCGAACCTCCCCCCCCTCCAGAAAACCAGGGGGGGGGTCACTACCGGTTCGAACCCCCCCCGCCCCCAGTCCATCATGAAAAGGGGGGGGTACTACCGGTTCGAACCCCCCCCCCCCTCGAAAACCGTGGGGGGTCACTACCGGCGGTTCGAACACCCCCCCCTCCTCGAAAACCGAGGAGGGGTGCGGACAGTGGTGGGGACGGTGGTGGTGGGGACAGTGGTGAGGGGACAGCGGGACAGTGGTGGGGACAGTGGGACAGTGGTGGGGGCGGTAGTGGTGGGGACTGTGGTGAAGGCGGTGGTGAGGACAGTGGTGGGGCAGTAGCACGGTGGGGAAAGTGGTGGGGACAGTGATGGGGACAGTGGGGACGCTGGGACAGCACAGTGGGACAGCGGCGGGGACAGTGGGACAGTTCTGGGTACAGTGGGGGCAGTGGGACAGTGGTGGGGACCGTGGGGAAAGTGGGGAGAGTGGGACCGTGGTGGCTCAACGGTGGGGAGAGTGGGGACATTGACACACTGGTGGGGGCACTGGTGGGGACAGCGGGACAATGGTGGGAACAGTGGGACAGTGGTGGGGCCGGTGAGGCCGTTGGGGAGAGTGGCACCGTGGTGGGAACAGTGGTGGGGACAGTTGGGGCAGTGCGACAGTGGTGGGGGCACTTGTGGGGACAGTAGGGACGGTGATGGAACCAGTGGGGACAGTGGTGGTGAGGACAGTGGTGCTGGGAACAGCAGTGGGGGATGTGGTGCGGATTGTGGCAGAGACCGGGAGTCGTTTGCTGGCGGTGAGGGAGGGGGGGGTTCGAACGGGTATTGACCCACCCTGGTTTTCGAGGAAGGGGTTCGAACCCGCAGTGACCCCCCCCGGTTTTCGAGGGGGAGGGGGGGGTCGAACTGGTAGTGACCCCCCCTGGTTTTCGATCGGTAGTGGCCCCCCTTGGTTTTCTGGAGGGGGGTGGGGGGTTCGAACCGGGAGTGACCTTTCTTTGGTTTTCTGGGGGAGGGGGTAGAACCGGTTGTGACCCCCCCCGGTTTTCGGGGGGGGGGGGTTCGAACCGGTAGTGACCCCCCCCATTTTTCTGGAGGGGAGGGGGGTGTTCGAACCGTTAGTGACCCCCCCCGGTTTTCTGGAGGGGAGGGGGGGGGGGTTCGGTGAGAGGGGGGTGCTTTGCCGGGGGAAGAGGGGGGGGGGTCCAGCAGGGAGGGGGGGGATTTTCGGGGGGGGGAACCCCGGGCTTCGGAGGAAGAGGGGGGGGAATTGTCCACAGTAAAGCGGCGGTGGATCACGCGCTCTCTCTCTCTCTCTCTCTCTCTCTTATTTCGTGATATCCCTAGTCTGCTCCTTCGTCTTATCAGTATTAATTTTCTTTTTTTTCTGAGTAAAAGAATTAACATGTGGACCATTAGTAGTATTAGTTCTAGAGTGTTTGTATTATTGTTAGTATGTTTTGTTATACCTGTATCATTAACGTCATCAGTAGTACTTATTTTGATGTTATGCTTGTCAAGGTGGTGCGCATTATCATTAAGAGTAGTCCTCTTTCATTCTGTCTAATTCCTCCCTGACTCCTGACCCTTCGCCCTCCCCCCCCGCCTTTCAAGTGGTCCTGAAAGCCAGACAGACCCCCCAGAAGTTTTCCGAGCACGACGTAAGAAAGTTGGGCGAGAGTGTTTCGTATTCGGTTCAGCCTCCCAGCTCCAAGACGTGTGACGGCGGGTCTTGGTCTGTTTCGCGAGTCAACAGTGGCTGGCCCTATTGCCTCACATGCGTTCCCATCCGGCCATCAGCGTGCCATTGCGTTGGACACATTTCTCACGATGGACGACGGCGCACTACCAAAGATGTGCAAAGCAGGCACAGGGTTCCAATCCCGCTTTTGGTGTATCGACGTCCCACACGAAGGATGGTCTGATTGCTTGGTTCGATCGTAGATCAGATGCGTTTTGGAACATATTCCCAGTGCCCGATAGTATAGCCAGCTACTTGTCCTGCACTGCGCAGTGCCTGTTCATTCGTTTGAGGCCTCCCCCTCAGCGGTCTCTTGTACGTAGATGTAGGTCTGTCCAAATTCTCTGCTTGCTGGTCGCCCCAAGTCGGCCTCCCACACTTTTGCACTTGCTCTGCGTCTCGCGTTTTCTGTGATGAGTAATTGTTCTTGGTTCTCGTGGACAGAAGCTTGGTTCCAATCAGGCAGTGCGTGTTCGTGAGAATTCGTCAGTGCGCGTGTCTCTTGGTTGCCACATGCTTTCCTGATTCGCTTTGTCGCTGTCCCGCTCAGGTGCGTGTGCCTGCCTCGTGTGTCTTAGCGTCGAGTGTCCAGCTTTGCGCTGAAATATGGTGTGCGTAGCTGCCGCTCGTGCTGTGGTGGCATCCGAGCTGGTCGCGTGTCACTTGTTGGTCGGTCTCAGGCCTCTAGGGCAGGTTGCAAGTGCTGTGCTTGTCTCCACCCCTTCCTGCTCCCGTCTCCTAACAGCTAGGTTGGCGCACGCTTTCTCGGGCTTTCGAGCTTCCCATGCCTCCTCGCCCTCGCCTGCACAATGAAGCTTTCAGTGGTGGCAGTGGCCGCCATTTACCTTGGGTGTGATGTCACACCGGTTTGCTTCTCATCTGCCTGGATCAGGGGCGCTTGCCCGCAGACTAGTTGTCGCACGTGTGTTACGCCTTGTGCGTTTCAGGCGCGTGCGACTGTGTAAGCTAACGATGGGCCTCCGGTCCGATCCCATCCGATCCTCTCTTCCCGCCCGCCCGCCATCACTCCTCCCTCCCCGTCCTTCCCAACTCCCCGCCGCTGGAGGGGTACGGGGCCCACTCTCACTCTTTCCGGTTGCTCGTCCTGGCCTGGCGAACGAGGTGTCCAATCCCGAGCCCCCCGCCGGCCCTCCCCGCCGCGAGCTTCGGAGGAGCACCAGCTGCACCAACGGCGGCTCTGCCGCCCGGCCCAGATCCGCTCAAAGCTGATGGGCCTGTTTTCCACCACCACCACCACCATAAGTTGGAGGAGGAGGAGGAGGAGGAGGAGGAGGAGGAGGA